GAGTTTCATTCTTGTTGCCCAGGCTGGAGTGCAATGGCATGATCTTGGCTCACTGCAACCTACATCTCTTGAGTTCAAGTGATTCTCCTGCCTCAGCCTCCTGAGTAGCTGGGATTACAGGCACGCACCACCACACCTGGTTAATTTTTGTGTTTTTAGTAGAGATGGGGTTTCACCATGTTGACCAGGCTGGTCTTGAACTCCTGAACTCAGGTGATACACCTGCCTCAGCCCCCCAAAGTTCTGGGATTACAGGAGCTACCGTGCCCAGCCCATCTCTCATTTTCTTTAGGAAAACCCCTTGTCAGCCTCAAATGACCAGAATGCATAATCTTGTTGTTTTGTATCTTCTCCTATCTTTCTCCATGCTCATATTTACCATCTGGATCTTTATAGTGCATACGTACGTATAGGCACTTAAATGTAGATTGATACTTGTCTCATGCTTTTTTGTTAAATCTGGTGCAATCATTTTGCATATATTTCCTTCATCTTCTTTTTTGAGATGGAGTCTGGCTCTCACCCGGGCTGGAATGCAGTGGTGCAATCTCGGCTCACTGCAACCTCTGCCTCCCGGGTTCAAGTGATTCTTCTGCCTCAGCCTCTCCCTAGTAGCTGGAATTACAGGCACATGCCACCATGCCTGGCTAATTTTTGTATTTTTAGCAGAGATGGCGTTTCACCATGTTGGTCAGGCTGGTCCTGAAATCCTGACCTCAAGTGATCCACCCACCTTGGCCTCCCAACATGCTGGGGTTGCAGGCGTGAGCAACTGCACCTGGCCTATTTTATTTTTTGTTGAGACACGGTCTCACTGTGTTACCCAGTCTTGAGTGCAGTGGTGCAATCTTGGCTCACTGCAACGTCCGCCTTCTAGGCTCAAATGATTCTCCCACCTCAACCTCCTGAGTAGCTGGGACCACAGGTGTGCACCACCATGCCCAGCTAATTTTTTGTATTTTTAGTAGAAATGGGGTTTCTCCATGTTGCCCAGGCAGGTCTCGAACTCCTGTCCTCAAGTGATATGTTTGCCTCAGCCTCCGAAAGTGCTGGGATTTAGGCATGAGCCACCATGCCTGGCCTAATATGTATATGTATTTTTAAATAGAGATGCAGGTCTCTGTAGGTTGCCTAGCTGGTCTCAAACTCCTGGGCTCAAAGGATCCTCCTGCCTTGGCCTCTCAAAGTGCTGGGATTACAGGCATGAGCCAGCATGCTTGGCTCTCAGTTTCTTTTATTTATATTTTCTCCTGAGTCAACTGGTAGAGACTGAAGTATTTTTACTCAATTTATTCAACTAGTGGTAGATTTTAGCCTTTTGCCCTGAGGTTTTTGAGCATCTGCAAGAAATATATGCCACATTTATATCCCATGCCTAAAATTGCTGGTAGGAAAAACATATATATTTTTTTCTTATAGAGATGGGGGTCTCACTGTGTTGGCCAGGTTGGTCTTGAGCTCCTGACCTCAAGTGATCCTACCATTTCAGCCTCCCAAAGTGCTGGGATTACAGGCGTAAGCCACCAAGCCCGGCTTGAAAATCATATTTTGTAGTAGGATATATTGAATCCAAGATGTTGGTTTTATTATAGCAAGTGATAAGGAAGCATTTGTCGTGGACTCTGGGTGAGAGAGGTGCCTCCTGGGAGAAGAGGAACCGAAACCAATGCTAAAATTGGGTTTAGAATCCGAATCTAGACTACCCACATCCTTTGGACTTCCCAGCCTGAAAAATGAGCAAAAATTTGTTCTTGAACTATTAACGTTTCTGGAGTGATTGGTAGAAAAAAGAATGGAACTGCCCTGGAGTAAAGAAAAGAATTGTTTTTATCTTCCGATTCTTGTATGAACTGTCCCTTGGAGTAATCAAGTAGCAGAACCCAGCTAATAAGTGAAAGGAGGAAGTTATGACAGAATTAGACTAGGGAGTGGCAACCTTTTTCTTTAAAGGTCCAGATAGTAGGTATCTTAGGTTTTATAAGTGATACAGTGTTTGTAGCAACTACTGAACTTACAAATGGGTGTGGTCATGTTCCAGTAAAGCTTTGTTTTAAAAAGCAGGTGGCAGGGCAGGCACAGTGGCACAGCTACTTGGGAGGCTGAGGTGGGAAGCTGGGAGGATCCTTTAGCTCAGGAGTTCGAGACCAGCCTGTGCAACATAACAAGACCACTGTCTTTTTTTAAAAAAAAAAAAAAAAAAAAGAAAAAGGGCAAGTGGTATGGACTGTTCAGAGTTGACTTCTGAATTAGGCTCTCTTTATTGTATAGAGCCTAACAATTATAACTGCTTTTACTTGTTAGCTTTAATAATTCTAGGGAGTTTATTAAACACAGTCTGTATGTCATCTAGTATAGATGCTTACTGGGATTTAAATCCTAAATTTGTCGGTTCTGTACTGATTCTAAATGGATTGTATGGTTGGTGGATATAGCTTTAGGATAGGTAGATTTTCTTGGTGATTTTTTTTTAATAGATGTGGAGTCTCACTATGTTGCCCATGTTAGTCTCAAACTTCTGGGCTCAAGCAATCCTCTTGCCTCAGCCTCCCAAAGTGCTGAGATTATAGTCATGAGCCACCGTGCCCCACCTGTGATGATTCAGTTCTTAGTCTCAGGTCTCAGGTCCATTAAGTAGTATCACTGACAATAGTGAATAAACTAATACTAGTCTCAAGGGTTTTTTGTTGTTGTTGTTGTTATTTTGCACATCACACTGACTTATTGTCAAGGTTTTAATGCAGAAAATAGTATACTCATAACATTAAAATACTCATGTTTGCTTTCTATTAGAATAAAAGTGAAATTTTAAATATTTTTTTTTGTTCGTTTGTTTTTATTTTTGTTTTTTTTTTGAGACGGAGTCTTGCTCTGTCGCCCAGGCTGGAGTGCAGTGGCCAGATCTCAGCTCGCTGCAAGCTCCGCCTCCCAGGTTTACACCATTCTCCTGCCTCAGCCTCCCTATAGCTGGGACTACAGACGCCCGCCACCTCGCCCGGCTAGTTTTTTGTATTTTTTAGTAGAGACGGGGTTTCACAGTGTTAGCAAGGATGGTCTCGATCTCCTGACCTTGTGATCCGTCCGTCTCAGCCTCCCAAAGTGCTGGGATTACAGGCTTGAGCCACTGTGCCAGCAGAATAAAAGTGAAATTTTAAATATTTTTACTGTGTGTATCCTTACTCCATTTGTAAACTTGAGTAGACTGTACTTTCAAAACTTGTTCAAGACAGATGTGAGATACAAGGTATCTACTTGCATATGCACACAGTCATCAGCTAGTAATTGCTAAATGTCTCCTCCTTCTTCCTCAATTGTAGCCAGTTAAAAATACTTTAAAAATACAGTTTGAAAGATTGCTTTGTCTGAAAGATAAATATAGGTTGACAGATTTTGTATTTCTCTTTTTGCTACCCCTTAGGAAGTATTTGAAAAGGAGCAGTCCATCTGTGCTGCAGAGGAACAGCCAGCAGAAGATGGGGTAAAAACTTGGGTTTCCGAACCTATCTTTCCTAGTGAAAGAAGTATTTTATTTACTTCTCCAGTTGACTTATATTGCTCTGGGAGAGTAACTCAGTTTAGCCATTTCCACCTAAAAATTACTGTAACCTTCAATTGAATATCTATTGCTATAACTTACAAGTGTGACATGTTATGATTTACAGCAGGGGGAAACTAACAAGAACAGGACAAAAGGAGGATGGCAACAGAAGAGTAAAGGACCCAAGAAAACTGCTAAATCAAAAAAAAAGAAACCTTTAAAAAAAAAACCTACACCTGTGCTGTTACCACAGTCAAAGCAACAGAAACAAAAGCAGGCAAATGGAGTTGTTGGGAATGTAAGTTTATTATTATCGTTATTATCATTGAGCTAAAATATACAAACACTAAAATGATCAAATCTTATGTGTACAGCTTCAAAAGTTTTACATATTTATGCACCTGTGATACCCTAGAAAGCTCCTTTGTGCCCTTCTCAATGAGCCCTCCACCCATCTCCCCATCCCTCTACCTCCCACTGTTCTGTCTGTAATCGCCATAGATTAGTTTTGCCTATTCTTAAAGGTCATATAAGTGTCATATTTTATGTATGACTCCTTTCATTCAGCGTTATGTTCATGATAATCCCTCTGTATTTGTAGCAGTAGTTAATTCTGTGTTTGTGTGTGTGTATATGTGTATAGTATTTCATTGTATGAATATACCACATTTATCTGTTTTGTGGTTGTTGGACATTTGGGTTGTCTGTAGTTCTTAATCTAATATGAATAAAGGGTGCTATGCTTATTCTTATACATGGCATTTTGTGGACAGTCATTTTCCACCTAGCAGTGGAATTGCTGGATTATAAAGTAGGTGCATGCTTAACTCATTAAAAGAGCCTATTTGCCAAAGTTGTACCATTTTATGCTCCTTCCTACAACATTCGTGAGTCTTTTGTTCTACATACTCACCAATACTTGGTTTTACCAGTCTTTTAGCCATTTGGTAGATCTGTAGTGATATCTCTTCATGTGATTTTTGTTTGCATTTACCTGATGGCTAATGATGTTGAACACCTTTTCATGTGCTTGCTGGCCATTTGGATAACTTCTTTTTCTATTAGGTTGTTTGTCTTGTTACTGAATTTGTAGGAATTCTGTATATATTCTGGGTAAGAGTCCTTACATTTTTACTCTCTTATTGGTAGCTTCTAATGGTTCTTATTTTAATGAGGTCAATTTCATTAGTCTCTTTTTTTCATCAATGAGGTCATTTTTCATCAATGGCTAATGCTTCTGTGTCTTAAAAATTAAGACATCCTGACTGCTCCAAAGTCAGGGAGGTATTTTTCTGTTTTCTTCTGGAAACATTACCTTAGTTGATAAAACTATCTTGAATTAACGTTTCATGAATGGTGCAAGGTAGGGGGTATGAACCACTTACACCATCACCATTCATTGAAAAGGTCATTCTTTCCTCAGTAAATTGTAATGGCACTTCGTTGTAAAACAGACGACACTGAGCCCAACAAGGCTGCTGCGGCCTGTCTCCTCTCTGGGCAGGGCATCTCCGAAGAAAAGGCAGCAGCCCCAGTCAGGGAATTATAGATAAAACCCCACCTCCCTGGGACAGAGCACCTCAGGGAAGGGGCAGTTGTGGGTGTAGCTTCAGCAGACTTAAACATCCCTACCTGGCAGCTCTGAAGAGAGCAGCGGATCTACCAGCACAGCATTCAAGCTCTGATAAGGGACAGACTGCCTCCTCAAGTGGGTCCCTGACCCCCATGTACCCTGACTGGGAGACATCTCCTACAACAGACACCTCATACAGGAGAGCTCTGGCTGGCATCTGGCAGGTGCCCCTCTGGGACAAAGCTTCCAGAGGAAGGAAGAGGCAGCAATCTTTGCTAGTCTGCAGCCTCCACCGGTGATATCCAGGCAGACAGGGTCTGGAGCAGACCTCCAGCAAACTCCAGCAGACCTGCAGCAAAGGGGCCTGACTGTTAGAAGGAAAACTAACAAATAGAAAGAAATAGTATCAACATCAACAAAAGGATGTCTACTCAAGAGACTCCATCCGAAGGTCACTGACTTCAAAGACCAAAGGTAGATAAATCCATGCAGATGGGGAGAAATCAGCCCCAAAAGGCTGAAAATTCCAAAAACCAGAACGCCTCTTCTCTAAAGGATCACAACTCCTTGCCAGCAAGGGAACAGAACTGGATGGAGAATGAGTGTGATGAACTGACAGAAGTAGGTTTCAGAAGGTGAGTAATAACAAACTCCTTCTAGCTAAAGGAGCATGTTCTAACCCAATGCAAGGAAGCTAAGAACCTTGAAAAAAGGTTAGACGAATTGCTAACTAGAATAACCAGTGTAGAGAAGAGCATAAATTACATGATGGAGCTGAAAAACACAACACGAGAGCTTCGTGAAACATTCACAAGTCCCAGTAGCCAAATTGATCAAGCAGAAGAAAGGATATCAGATTGAAGATCAACTCGATGAAATAAAGCGAGAAAACAAGATTAGAGAAGAAAGAGTGAAACGAACAAAGCCTGCGAGAAGTATGGGACTCTGTGAAAAGACCAAATCTGTGTTTGATTGGTGTACCTGAAAGTGACGGGGAGAATGAAACCAAGTTGGAAGATACTCTTCAGGACATTATCCAGGAGAACTTCCCCAACCTAGCGAGGCAGGCCAACATTCAAATTCAGGAAATACAGAGAACACCACGAAGATACTCCTTGAGAAGAGCAACCCTAAGACACATAATCATCAGATTCACCAAGGTTAAAATGAAGGAAAAAATATTAAGAGGAGCCAGAGAGAAAGATCGGGTTACCCACAAAGGGAAGCCCATCAGACTAACAGCAGATCTCTCGGCAGAAACCCTACAAGCCAGAAGAGAGAGTGGGGCCCGATATTCAACATTCTTAAAGAAAAGAATTTTCAACCCAGAATTTCATATCTAGCCAAACTAAGCTTCATAAGCGACGGAGAAATAAAATCCTTTACAGACAAGGAAATGCAGAGAGATTTTGTCACCACCAGACCTGCCCTATAAGAGCTCCTGAAGGAAGCACTCAACGTGGAAAGTAACTACTGGTACCAGCCACTGCAAAAACATACCAAATTGTAAAGCCCAAATCGACAGAATACACATTCTCCTCAGCACCACATCGCACTTATTCCAAAATTGACTGCATAATTGGAAGTAAAACACTCCTCAGCAAATGCAGAAGAATGGAAATCATGACAAACAGTCTCTTAGACCACAGCGCAATCAAATTAGAACTCAGGATTAAGAAACTCACTCAGAACTGCACAACTACATGGAAACTGAACAACCTGCTCCTGAATGACTACTGGGTAAATAA